CCCTCCTGCCTCAGCCTCCCGAGCTGCTGGGATTACACCATGCCCAGCAAGACCCCCTCTCTTAAGACAAAGAAAATAAAAACAGTAGTTTGGATAAACTGCTGACCAAGATCAAGCAGAACAAGAATTAATGATGTGGACTGAAACTTGATGAAGACAATGATTTTATGACTTTATTTGAAAGGTTATTGGTTAGTGGTTTATTTTCCAGATTTAAGTAAACATTTTTTTTCCTTTTAAGTTATTTATAGCTTGTAGCAATTTAGTAACTCACATCTTCATGAGTAATAGTAAAATATTTTTCTCCCTATCGGATCCTCCAGAATCTGGAAAGTTAACTATGTGTATTTTAATCATGTGGCAACAGTTATTTGCACAGATTCAACAAGAACCTCTCTCTTTTGGGGAAGGTACAATTGGAAATATCAAGGTCCTGACTGGAATGTTGCTACTGGGGAACGTGTGAGGGATGCTGCTTTTCTGGGGTTCCCAGTCTCACAATAAGTACAAACTGGCACCTCGTAGCAGGTCCCCAAACCTCAAGATGTTTTGGAGACCTTGGGAGACAGAATTCTCCTAACTCTACCAGCACTGTAGGTAACATCTGATTTGCCTTAATTTGACTTCTAGCTTTCGAAGTTTTTAAAAGTCCAATCTAAGGTTCCTTATAAAAAGCACCAACTAAACAAATGTAAAGGGCCTACGTGGTCAACTACCATCTGTGCTGCCTTTGCATAAACTCTGGCCAGATTTCACACGGCTGAATTACTGCACATTCAATCAATCTTACTCTGATTACCTTGGCAGAAACTAGGACAACTACAGAGACAAAAATCATGCCTTGGTGGAAAACCACGGTGCACCTGTTATTAGGCTGTAGCCCCAGTTCATTGTTTTCAAATTCTGTTATCTACCTGTGGATGGACTGGATCTTGAATCCTTCTGGATTCCTCCAATCTAATTTTCTCCCACTTTTCCTACTTGGCAACACTAACAAGAATTGCCCTGTTCCTGAAACCCCACAAGCTGCAGATGGATACCTGGATGCAATTCCAGGGTTCTTCCCACCCCTGAGTGGCCCCACCCCTGAGTGTGGGCCACCGGGGAGCTCAGCAAGATGCCCAATGCCATGACCAAGGCGCTCTAACTGCAAGCCAGGAAACACACTTTCTTTGAGTCCGAGTCTGGAAACTCCTTGGCTGACTCCCTCTGGATTCCGGCTGAATTTATGGCTTGCTATAGTCATTGATTTTGCTTTTCTTTTGCTCCAAAGAAAAACTATTTAGCTTGATTGGGGGCCCTTGGCCAGGGAGCATCTGGTCTCTGGTGTCACCCTCTGACAGCCACCACTGGAATGTCTGCAGCACACTACCTCCTGTCAAGGCCTGAATGTGTGCAGGCATCAACAGGACGCCAGGCTGTCTCACAGTGTGTTTAGAACAAGGAAACTGAGATGAACAACAGAGGACTTTTGTTCAGCAACCTTGCACATGCCACAGCGACAACCAGCTGCAATGGTGGCACTTACTACCAGGTTTTGGTCAATCACTCATAAACAAGTGGCTGAACAAAAACAGGGAGGTCATTTTTTAAAATTCTAAGTGGGAAGTCATTAGATGGGGGTGGCTCTGGCACTGTAAATTCCTACATGAACACACCAAAGCCCACTGTAAATGGTAAACTGAAACTAGAAACAGGTCCAATCAGAATCCACCAACCAAGTTCCAGCTGAGCACAGTTGCTCTATTTTGCTTCTGTGATTCTCCCCATTCATGATTGCAGAACATGCCAATGAACTCTTTAAAACTGAAATGTGCTTAAATGACCTTAAATGTGGCAGTCGATTATTAAATATGACATCAAAAGCATGAGTGATAAAAGAAAAACTAGCCAGGTACCGTTGTATGTGTCTGTAGTCCCAACTACTTGGGAGGCTGAGACAGGAGGATCACTTGAGCCCAGAGTTTAAGACCAGCCTGGGCAACTCAGGGAGACCCCTAAGTCAAAAATAAAGAGATACACTAGATCTTATAAAGTTAAAATTTTGACATCAAAAGACATTATCAAGAAAGTGACTCCTGACAGAGAGCTTGCAGCCCTGGGTTCAAGCCCCAGTATCACCAAAAAATTCAAAAAATTTAAAATTAAATAAAAATAAAGGGCTGGGGATATAGCCCAGGGGTAGAGCACCCCTGGGTTCAATCCCCAGTACCAAGCCAGGGGCAGTGGCAGGAGGGAGGTAGAAACAACCTACATATCCACCAAAGGACGAATGCATAAACAACATGTCACATAAAACAATGGAATATTATTCAGCCATAAAAGGTAACAAAGCAGTGAAACACCCTACAAGATAGAGGAAGGTCAAACACATGTTGAGTTAAAGAGGCCAAACACAGAGTCACCCTGCACAATTCTGGTTACATGAAAGAGCAAAAAAGGTAAATCCACAGAGACAGAAAGTGTGTGTATGCCAACAGGCTGGGGAGAGGGCATGGCAGAGTGACTGCTTAGCACATCTGTGGTAGTTATGGAAGATAAAAATGTTTTGAGGTTCAAAAGAATTGGTTGCACAACATTGTGGATATAAGAAAGGCCACAGAACTATTCAATCAAAATTTTACAGGATGTATATTTCACTTCCATTAAAAAAAAAAGGTGAGGGCTACGGGCTGGACATGCTTGCTGGGCATTGTCTTTCAAGCCAGGTCCATGCCCATCACACAGTGTGGCTGCAGGACCCGCAACACTGCTGCACCTAGAGTCGGCTCAGGGCAGAACCTCAGTGCCACCAAGGCCAGCTGGGTCAGAACCTACACTGGACGGTGTGCAGTGTGGTCACTACACAGTACGTGCCGCTCCAGGGCACTCAGCAAATGCACCATGGCCCACAAGGCCCCGAGAACACACGTGCAAGGAGTGCATACCTGAGAAGGTACGAGAAGGCTACCCTGTGGGCCAGAGGCACACAGGGGCAGGAGGTGTCCTGCCTCTGGAGGATGACACGGTTCCCTGGAGTCACCAGGTGATACTTTCACTGAGGAATAAGGAGCAAGATGGTGGGCAGATCCCCCTCCAGCTTCTCCTATGTGCAATGGTGGCACTTACTACCAGGTTTTGGTCAATCACTCATAAACAAGTGGCTGAACAAAAACAGGGAGGTCATTTTTTAAAATTCTAAGTGGGAAGTCATTAAATGGGGGTGGCATAGTAGGACAGGGGGACTCCTGGGGGCAATTCAGGGAGTGTCCCTGAGCAGCTGTGTGCAGATGGGAGCGGGTAAGAAGAACAGACCCTGAATTCCCAGGTTTACATACAGGCCCTGCCACAAATCCCCCTGGGCCTTAGTCTCCTTCTTTATTTAAAAAACAAACAAACAAAAGGCCCAATAATCATCCTTTAGGGGGTTGTTGACAGTGACTTGAGATCAGGGGCTCAGAATAAACCTCATGAATGCCCCCTCCTGCCCAAAGGACAAGGGTGTGTGCCCAGGGCTGGGGATGTGGCTCAAGTGGCGGAGCGCTCGCTGGCCTGGCATGTGTGGGGCGCTGGGTTCGATCCTCAGCACCACAGAAAATAAATGAAGATGTTGTGTCCACCTAAAACTGAAAAATAACTCTGCAGCACAGAGACAGTGGGTCTCACCCCAACCCAGCAAGCACACCTGGGTTAGAAGAACATCAAGCCTCCACGCTGGTGACCCCGAGACCTAGGAGGATGGCAGCAGGGTCTTCTTGCCTCTCAACCTGGACCACAAACAAGCCCCCTCCCTCCAACCAACTAGCTAGAGGCCACCTACCCCCCAGAGTCCAGCTGCAGGAGGCCAGAGTGGAGAGGGACTCGAACAGTGGTCAAGACCTCACTCTACTTAAGAGAAAGCGAGGCACCAAGACCTTCACAGCTTTCCCAGATCAGACACCACAGCAGAAGAGAGGGCCCCCACGTGACACAGGCCAGAGGCCACCTCTGGTGCACCATCAGCCTGTCCTGGCCCTAATTCAAACCCCAAACTTCCCCACAGTTCTCTCCTAGCCAGAACCTGGACCCAGGACCTATGGGCTCCACACAGCTGCCTCTACAGTGGAGGGTCTGCCCACTGTCCTCATGGCCCTCACCCTGCTGGGGCTCCGGGGACTTGGTGGAGAGGAGTGATTCAGGGGAAATTCCACAGAGGAAGGGACCCTAAACACAAAATCAACCTTAGTCTCAACCCTTGTCCAAAGTCCAACCCCAGCCCTTACTATACCGAGACTCGTACCTTACCATCGTGAGGTTCTCACCACAGCCACAGCAGAATAGACCTCCAGGGCAGAAGGGGAGCCTGGGGCCCAGGTTCCAGAAAGAGCCACAGACATAGAAGCCCACTCCACCCAGGCAGCTAGAGGGTGTGGACAGCACTCTCCTGGAGGGAGGCTCAAGGGCTCCTGCAAGTCCAGCCCCTCCACCCTGCACAAGATGGCCGGCCTGGCACACATGCCCAAAGGGGCAAGAGTGTGTTCTGGCCCTTCCTCCACCTGCCTGGGCCAGGCTCCCACCAGATCCTGGCCTTCCTCCAGGGACCATGAGTCACTCACAGGCACATCACCCCCCGACACACAGGCCACCAGGTGCAAGAGCCCGACTGCAGGGGCCTGCCCCGGCCACCTGTCTTCACCCTCGTCACTGGAGATCCCTGTCACCCTAAAAGCAGGCTGTGGTCTCCCAAGGCTTTCAGTTTCCAGGCTGCAATGGGATCCACAGCCCGGTGCCCCCAGGTGGCCCTTCCTAGGACCAGAAAGAAAACACAGACCCTGACCCTAAGTTCCACCCTAAGCCCAGGGCGAGCCTGGCTCACCAGGCTCTTGAATCTGACTGAAACACCTGTTTATCAACATAGGCCCTTTCTGGGGCATGCCCCTGGGCTTACAGATGGGGGCCCTTGACATGCCACTTGAATACCCACTACTGCCCTTTAATACCCACACAAATCCACACAGGGCCCATGGGTGGGCAGAACTCACCGACATCTGAGTCTTTGTGAGTCTTGATGACCTCTGCCAGCTCAAAGTTCCCTGCAATGATGGCCACCTGGGAGAAAGGGGAGGTCAAGACACGCCGAGTGGCGAGGAGGTCTAGGGGCACCCGACCTCATGCTGCTCCCAGAGGTCCCTAGGCTGCTATGCACAGTCTTCTGCAGTCACAACACTGCAGTCCAACGGGACACCACTAGCTGCAGACAGCACTTACAGGGTCCTACACACAGACCCTGAAACTAGTGACCCACCACCCAGTCTGCCCAGGACCAAGAGACTTCCCAGCCAGGAGATGGTCCCAGGCACACTGGGACATACTCCCAGAACGTCTAATCTGCCCCTCCACACAACCATCATTCCTGAGTCGGCCAGGGCACCCCAGCTGCCAACCTGCAGCCCTCATCTTCCCTGACTACACCCCTGACGGGCCAGTCACCCAGTCACCTGACAGGCCCCGACGTCTCTACTTCCAGATGTGCCCAAACCCCTGTACCACTGCCTCTGTCCTCCTGGACCACACGACCACAGGTCTCACCAGAGGTCTGTGTTCCAACTGAGAAGAGACCCACGCTCTCTCCATGGCCTCAGCCCCTGTGACATATTCCAGGCTGCCTGGCCAAACGAAGAACTCAGAGGCATCACTGGGGAAGTCAGGAGCCAGGGTGGTGCCCTTTGGGGTTTGATCTCTGCCTCCCTGCCTCACACTCAGGGGATCAGGCCCACACCTGTTCTCCGGGCTTCTTGTCTGCCCCTCCCACGGCCTGGAGCCCCCAACCTTCCTCTCTGCCTGGGCATCCAACACATCCCACCACTGGCCATCCTGCTCACCTCCTCCCAGAGCAATCCAGAAAGTGGATTCTCCCCTGTTGCCTTCCAGAGAAGCAAAGTTTGGAAAACCAAAGCCGACAGAGACAGGCTGCCCCAGTTCACTCCCAGGAACCATACCTACCTGGAAGGCCGTCTGGCTGTTGTAATTGCGAACATCCTTGTTGGCTCCTCGGAAGAGCAGGACACGAGCACAACTCTCCTGTCAGGAGGCAGCAGGGGTCACACTGCATGGCTGGAGAGACCAGACCAGGTGCAGCAAGAGGCACACGCAGAGGTGCACCTACAGTTGTGTAGGATAGGGCACTCACAGCTACATGTTCTCTGCACACGGCCATCCGACCCCCAACCCCAGGTAGTTATGCCTGGGAAGGTCCCAGCAGCCCAGAGGGTCTGGATGTGCGCAGTGAACACCAGGATGGCCTCGTGGGCCTACGTGTACACACACACGATACATCTGTACTCAGGAGACAGACTGTACAGGAAGGCCCATACGGCCATCCTGTAACCACAACTCACTGCAGGACACAGGACACCCATGGAATGGCACACAGCTGGGACACAGAGCCACCTGTGTACCAGCATGCACATGTATGTGTACACGGGCACACAGGCGTGCTTTGAGGCACTCCAACAGGCGGTGCACACATATAGAACACCATGTATGGTCACACCTGGTTGTAGAGAGCACAGATATGCAGTGCTGTGTTTCCCGAGGCATTCTGGGCACCCATGTTGGCTCCGTAGAATAGCAGGTGCTCCAGGTGTTGCACGTGCCCGAAGCGACAGGCCTGGAGAGGAGGGAAGTACTGCAGAGGCCAGACAGAGGCTGGGCCCCCATCCGCACACAGCCAGGCCCTGCAGCACACTCTCTACCCACCTGGTGGATCTCCTGCCAGCCATTCTCATCAGTGGTCCCCAGCTGCGCATGGTCATGGAGAAGCAGCTCACAGCAGAGGGCATCACCGCCACCCAGGGCACTGTGGTACAGGGGTGTCAGGCCGCGGCTATCCTTGTAGTCAGGTGAAGCACCCAGGTCCAACAGGGTCTGAGAGTGAGGCAGCTCAATGTTCATGCCAGGCCTGGCTTCCTCCAGCCCCACCAGGCCATGTGCCCCTCCACCCATGGCCCTCCACTGACCGTCAATGCCCCTGCATTCCGCTGCCGGGTGGCACAGTGCACGGCAGTTAGCCCATCTCGAGTGCGGAAGTCCAGGTGAGCACCACCATTCCTCAGCACCTTCAGCAGGTCCGTGGCATTGTCTAACTGGGCCGCAAGACTCAGAGGGCACTCTGGGTTCAAGGGACAGATGAAAGTTAGGGTCCTAGCCACTCAAAGGGCAGTCCCTCCCTGCTCTGCTTCTTACCTCCTGAATCGGGGTCATGGAAATTGGGGTCTAGCCCCTTGTCCAGAAGACGGGCCACCTTGTCTGTGCTGTGCAGCTGGACATAGTCCATGAATTTCTTCAGGTTTGCCTGGAATACCAACTGTCTCAGATGACCACAGCCATCTGACCCCCAACCCCACATTTTCCCCAGTAAGCCTCAGGCCACCAGATGCACCACCCCCAGCAGTCTGACCTGTCACCCAGCTGGTCCACCCTCAGCCCTACACCATGCCTCAGCTACGATTCCAGCTTGGCTGAGCCCATGGTGCCACTCAAAGCCCTGCCCTGAGTCCTGATACCCAAACCCTCCCACAGCAGTCAGCTCAGCCAGCCTTGCCACAGCCATGCCCAAGCAAGTTCACATCCTCAACCTCAGTCACTGTCCTGGCTCTGTCTCCTGACTCCTGTGCCCAACATGACCAGAGTAGAAGAGCCCTGAGCTAGCCCTATGGCAACCCAAATGCTCATCAGTCCCAAGACTTCTTCTCTAGTCCTTGCTAGTCCTCTTCTCTAGCCCACCCCCTGGCTGACCCTGGGGGCCACCTTTTATCCATTTTCCCAGTCCTGAGTCAGTTCGCTCAACAAAGCCTCCTGCGCCCACATGGCAGGAACACCACACAAAAGGCCCAGGGCCTCTGGACACTCAGCATGCAGCAGGGCAGGAGGGGGCAGCTAGGGACACTGCCATGGGTTGGGGCGATAAAACTGGAGGGAGGCTACTCCAGCCAAGGGAAGGGTCTGTGCAAAGGCTCAGGGGAGAGACCTCAGCCAGCCCCAGGACTGGAAGGGGGAGTACAAGGCCAGGGGAACCCCAGAGCAGGACGCAGGGCTGTGGTGAGGAGTTCCAGTGCATTCCCAAAGCAAGCAGGACTCACTAAGGAATAGACACTAGTGTTCTGTTGGTCACTGGGAAGAAGTCAGGAGAAAGCCAATATGGGGCAGTGGCCTAAGTGACAGAATCACAAAGGAGCAATGGAGGAAAGCAGGATCTTCTTACATGATGCCTGCCTGGCCACAGAGCCAGAGCCACTGACCACCACCTGCCCTAGACGGCAGAAATGCCTGGTTCAGAAGCCTGAAAATCTGGGGTCATGAGTGGAGTCTTGGCACAGGGACCCTAACCTCCGCTCCAGGTCCAACTAGCAAGTGTCCAGCAAACAAACACACACTAGGCCACAGAGCTGGGGTGAGGGGTCAAGGAATCTGCCCATGGGGGAGGCCAAGACACCCATCTTTCCCCCAGCACATTCAGAGGAAGTAGTGCAATGCCCCCCAAATTTCATAAGATCAGGACCCCCTGGAGGTGGCACCCAACAATACAGACACCTCATGCATGAGCCAGGAACAGGGCAGAGTCAGACAGATCTGGGCCCAGCTTTTGGCTGCACAGTCACAAGTAGGTGACTTGACCCCTCTGCCATGCAGTCTGCTCACATGAAATAGAGTAACGAGAGTCCCTCTAGGGAGAGCATCCTTGAGATGCCTAATGACAACACTTCTCAGCACCAGGTGGTAATAAGCACTGGGCCTCTTGTCCCCAACAATCAACACATCAGATGCTTGTCTGCTTTGCCTCTCACAGGACACTCCACCCACTAGGCCAGGGGATAAGGAGAGTCTGATCTGACTGGAGCCAGTACAGGACTAGCCATCTCTGGCCATGGTCCTGGAATCTGTACCCAGCCTTCCAGTAGCTCCAAAACCCACATCTGGACCTCTGACAACAGAATGGGCCTTGGGGGGAGGGGAGGGGGGATCAGTGGGTTAGCCCTAAGCTGGAGGTGGGGACAGTGGCCATGGGGTCCCCTTCGCATAATGATATCTTTACCTTTGTGTGCAGCTTTGCAAACTGCTTGTCATCAATGAGGTTCTGGGCATAAACACGCCGCTTGTATCGAAACTGCTCAGATAAAGAAAAGGTGGAGAAAAGGTACCCACCCCAGTGAAGAAAGTGGCGACCACCATCATCTGCACTCTCACACACACACACACACACACATACACACAGTGCTCACCATCACAGAGCCCTCCTATACACATCTGTCAAGGGCACTGCCACTTAACAGCCATGGAAGGCCCAGGCACACACTACCATGGTAGACACACAGCTGACAGCTGTCACCTACCCAGCACACTGAACGTGGCATGTGGCACCATGAAAGGCAAGTACCTGGCCATCTTAAGTGGCAGGCTCCTAACCTGACTCATTCTCATCCCCAATATTCCCTGGGAAATCCCACTCCTCTCCCAACATCGGCTACCAGTCTTACCTTCCTAGATATCCCCTCTCTAACCTCTCTAAGACTTCCCTATGTCACCATGAAAGTCAGTGACCTCAGCTACCCTCTTAATTCAGTGCCCATTGAGGTTATCACCTTCCCCCTTCCCCAAACTACAAGACTTCACTATCATGACTCAGTCTCTGTACCCCCCCCCACTTCCTGGAAGGGCACCTTTACGTCATGACTGAGCAGAGTACACTCAGGTCCACTTCAGAAGACCTCTCAGTGGGGGGCAGGGAACAAACTGCACACAGATAACGGTGTTCACACCCCCCAGCCCCCGGGGCACTCACTTCTCACACTCCTCACTGCGGAGCAATACTGGATGCTCACTGCACATGCTGTTCAAACTGCTCACACCACGCGCGCGCTGACTGCATGTGCTGCACATTGCTCACTGTGTACCCCCCACACGGCTTGCTGCACGCACCACATACACTGTCCACACTAGTCTCCCTGCCCACACTGCAACACTGCTTATCCCGCACGAAGCTGCTCACACTGCCCACTGCCCACTGCACACACCGCTCACAGCGCACTGCTACCATTCCAACTCATTCCCCGCGTGTTTCTCACTGCTGTGCCCTTCACCACTCCTGCCACGGCGCTGGGGGTCGCACCCTGACCGCCTCCCCCACCCCCGCCCCGGGCCCGCTCGACACCTCCAGGTAGGGCAGGGGCGTGTCCAGGTTGGGAGGGTACTCTTGCAGGAGCCGTTCCTCATCCAGGAACTTGCCGGCCCGGCCCCTGGAGGGCGGCTGGAAGAGCCCGTAGTTGAGCGCGTCCTGCAGGCTGTGGTTGAGGGCGCAGAGCACGCGCTGCTTGGCGGCCCACACGGGTGCGGTCGGGTCCAGGCGCAGACACTTCTGCGGCGGAGCGGGATCGTGAGCAGGGATCCACCCGCCCGGCCGGTCCCGCGCAGGGCGCCGCGCGCCGCGCCCCGCCGGAGGGAGCCCGAGGCTCGGAGCGGAGCCGAGACCCGCGCCTCCGAGCACTGCGGCCGAGGCCCCGCCCCGGGGTTGGGCTTCCCCGGGCCCCGCCCCCACCCAGAGATGGGGAGGGTCCCGTGGAGGCGGCGGGGGAGGGGTGAGTAGCCGCGGCCGGGGGTCCTGGGCGCTGAGCGCGCCCGGCGGGGGCATAGCGATCGAGCCACTAGGGGCGCGACAGGGTCTCGGGGGCTCACCGTCTGCTGCAGGTCCGGGATGCCGACGCGCACGACCACAGCGCTGGCCCCGGGGCCGTCCATCCCCGCGCCGGCGCCGGGGCTACCCACGGCCGGGAGACGGGCGCACGGGGACTCCGCGCGGCGCCCCGGCCCCCCCTGGCCCCCCGCCGGAGCCCCGCCGGCCGCGCTGCGCGGGAGGGGGCCGGGGGGGGGCCGGGGCCGGGGCCGGCTCAGGGGACAGCGGCTCCGGGAGCTCCGCGGCAGCGGCGGCGGCGGCGGCGCGGCTCAGCTGCATCGGCCCCGGCTCCGCTCGGCGCCTGCCTTCCCCGGGGGCGGGGGCGGCGGGGGGAGGGGGCCTGAGCCGGGAGCGAGGCGGGGGTGGCGAGGGGGCCGCGCCGGCGGCGGGGGCGGGAGGCCCCGGACCAAGCGCAGGGGTTCTCTCCGGGTCCCGCGCGCGCTGGGGCAGTCGGCTAGGAGGGCGGGGGTCCGCACGTGGGGCGGGGGCCAGGGGCTGCTCCGGGATGTAGGCGCCCTAGCCCTCGCGGGGGAGTGACTGAGCGGCGAGGGCCACGCCGCGCTTCCGCTGCGGGCGAGCGTCGCGGACCACCGGGCGAGGGACGGCAGAGGGTCTTGGAGCTGGGTGGGGGCCGCGTCGGGGCAGGACCACAGGCCAGGCAGGGGAAGAAACAAGGAGAATTATTCCTCCGGGATGGCGACCTCTCTGCACTCTGCCGACCCCCACTCCAGGCCCCGAGGGGGCTGGGGGGGTCAACCCTGCCCCAGCGATGGGGTCGACTGGTAGCGCGCCCCGCGCGGGGTAGGCTCTAGTCGGCCCCGCGGAAAGAACCCCCCGCATCCCCCGCATCAGCCTTCGGACCGCGCCCAGCGGGGTCCCGCGGCACCCCGCGGCGGAGTTTGGGACTTCACTGTGGCCCCCAGGTCCCCTTCTGCGGCCGCCCCCTCCGTCGCCAGGCGCCCCTTCCCCGTCACCTTAGCGACGGGAGGATGGGGGCGCGACCTGCAAGAAGGGCTTAGGGGAGGGGGCGCCACTAGTCTCCACCTGCGACGGGGAAGTGAATTTTAGTTTCGCGCGTTGTCGTGGCAACGCGGGAGGAGGGCCGAGTGGGCGGAGGAGGGGAGCGCAGCGAGGAAACTAGCTCAGGCGCCGCCCGCGTGGCGCGTGCCAGCCCCGGCCTCGCACAGCACAGCCGCGGAAATGCCCAGGCCCCCAGCGCTTCGCGCATCCCCGAGGACCGAGGACCGAGCAGCCCTGGGTCCCGGAGACCATTCCTGCCTTGCATACGTGCACCGACACCCCCCCCCCCAAAAAAAAGCCCCCGACTCCGTAGTGATCCACTCACCCCCTGACGCACCCACTGGATCACCTTCAGGAACAGCCTGGCTGGAAGCCCTCTGCCTGTGGTGGAAAACAGCCCCTAAGCACCAGCCTCCCCCACTTTCTCCACTAGCAGCCCTGGATCCCTCACAAAACTGGTTACTCTGGAGCTCCCAGGAATAACCTTGGACTGCCCAGTCCCACCGAACACAGAAAACCTCCCTATCCCTCTCCGTGGCAACCTGGGCCATCTGAGAAATACCCTGACACCACACAGAATAATGATTGAAAACCCCAGAAGAAGCCCCCATTCTCCACAGATCCACCTAACTCCCCTTGCCCCATCAAAAAGCACTAACTGACTCAGGCAGGGGGTTTCTCAGCAACCCCGCCAGAGGAGGGATCCCTTCCCCGGGACCACTGGCTCCCTGCTCCTGCTCCGCGACCCTTTGAGGAATAATCTCTACCTCCCCAGGACACCAGTGACCCGGCCGAGCGGAGACTCCAGCGCTGTCTGTGGGTGTGCCTGCCCTCCAGCCTGGATGGACCCTCGCTGACGGGGAAGTGAAGCCCTAGCAGGCCCCTCCCAAGGCCATTGGTGTGGCCTGAGTGGTGCAGTTGAGGATCCCCTGGTGTGGAGACAGGATGGGAGGAGGGGGCTGGGAGCAGGGAGCAGGAAGGGGCCCAGGAGTCTCTCTTATCTGCAGGAAGCACCTTGGGAAGCCGGAGGGCTGGGTTTCCTGCAGCTTACCTCAGGAGAGGAAACTAGGGCTGTCCACCCCTGGCGTCTCCACCGCCTTCCTGCCCTCTTTTCCCTCCCGCTTGGCCCAGGCCCCCCCCCCCCCCCCCCCCCCCCCCCACAGATTTCCCCTAGCCCTTGACCCAGCCTTTCAGCACCCTGGATGCAGCCAGCTGTGACAGATGAGAGAGTCTACCAGCAGTAGGACTGGAAGGGGAGAAGGCCTTCTCCACAATCGGCAGAACAGTCTAGAGCCTCCTGGCTGTTCCTTGGCTCCCTGCAAATCTGCAGGGATGGACCTGGATGGACCCAGAGCCCCCTAGCCAGAGCCTTTGGACCACCTGCCCAGACTGGACCTCATGGGGGCCCTTGCAGCCTCTCCTGCCAGCTCCCTACATCTGTAGCTGCTGCTGTGCGAGCCTTTGGGGAGGGCATGTCACAGCTTCAACGCCTGGTAGCCTGCAGACCGGTGGTCTCCTCAGCTGGCCCTCACACTGCCCAGGGTGACACAAAGCATGTGCTCTACACAGCGCCTGGTGCACAATGAATGAATAGCAGATCTCCGTGGTCCTCCAGTTCCCCTGCCACCTGGCAGATGGCAGAACTAATAATGCCTGGGCCCTGCACACCAGAGGTCTTCCTGAAGGTTCTGAAGGAGAAAGCTGGTTGGGTGTCTTTGCCCTGGTTTTGTTGGGAGTAATCCCAGGCTCCTCCCCACAAGCCTCCTGAACAGCCCCCACCTCCCAGTCAGGGCCATCCTTGGCCTGCCCTACCCCAGCTCCCCTGCCACTCCACCTAACCCCACACCACATACTAGGCCCTTCTGCTGGCCCCACTTTTCCATCAGGACTAAAGTTCCCGGAAGACCATGATTTTTGCCATCCCTACTTCTTCCCCACCAAACTGTCAGACACAGCAAGCTTCATGGGACCCAGAATAGTGCCTGGCCTGGGGCACAGGCTTCAGACCTCTGCCCTGAAGTAGCTCCCAGGCGCAAAGGCCACTGCCAAATGTCACTGCCTGTGACCTTCCACCTGTGCTTCAGTGATCACTCCAGGCATTGCAGACCTCAGGCAAGTCAAACCCTCAAAGTTCTGGGCCCTCCACACTCAGGATCCCACCTTGAGGCCATCCAGGTGACCTCACCTCACCCGAGGCTCCTCTTTGCCTGGTGGTTCCGCCTCCCGTCAGCCTAGCTGGGATTGTCCCTTTCCCCTATCTGTCACTCCCACAGGTCAACTTGGTCACCCAGATCCTACCCTACCCTCCGTCTGGCTTCTTGCCCCAGGCCTGTTCCCTCAGTCAGCATGCCCCAGAAGACCCCCTTGCTGCGGGCTGCCCAAGCATGATTCTGTCCTGTCTCTTGACTCCTCCCTGCCCCCACTAGTTTCCATGACAACAAGGCGGGCTTTCACTGAGCCAGACCCTAGCTGCTTTCCATTCCCAGCCTGCCTCTCTCCAGTGTAGACCCGTCTGGCTCCTTCACCTCTCACTTTGATCTGCTTTCTCCTGAAGCCACTCTTGGCTTCTAGACTGATCCACTCATTTGTTGCTCAGCATCTTTCTTTTCTTGCCAGAAGGTGGGTTCCCTGTGCAGACAGATCTTACCTGTCTGGTTCACTGATGTGTCCAGTGCTTTTCCCCTTCACATCAGACTTTCTCCAGAGTGGTCTGTAAGGCAGGAATCCTGGAGTGCTCAGCCGACTATGACACCGTCTGGACCTGGTGCATTCTTTTGAGTAGGGGTTTGGTTTTGGCTTTGATGGGACTGGAGATCAAACCCAAGGCCTCGCACCAAGCTAGACAAGGGCTCTACCGCTGACTACTTCCCCAGCCCATTCTTCAATTTTGAAAACAGTGTCTTGCTGAATCGCTTAGGAATCAGACACGGTGGCACACACCTGTAATCTCAGCAACTCAGGAAGTTGAGGCAGAAGGATCGTGAGTTCAAAGCCAGCCTCAGCAAAAGCGAGGTGCCAAGTAACTCAGTGAGACCCTGTCTCTAAATAAAATACAAAATAGTGGGGCTGGGGATGTGGCTCAAGCGGTAGCGCACTCGCCTGGCATGTGTGCGGCCCGGGTTCCATCCTCAGCACCACATACCAACAAAGATGTTGTGTCCGCGCAAAACTTAAAAAAATATTAAAATTTTAAAAAATAAATAAATAAAATACAAAACAGGGCTGGGCATGTGGCTCAATGGTCAAGTGCCCCTGAGTTCAATCCCCAGTACCCCCAATAAATAAATAAATAGCCCAGGAATCCTCCTGCCTCAGCATCTGAAATAGCTAGGATTACAAGTCTGCCCAACCACATCAATCATGAGTGGGTTTTTTTTTTTTAATTGCTTGTAGTTTTATAACATCCAAAGGTATATTCAGAGTCTATTTCACCTTGAATCTAAGTTTCCTTTTTCTAGAAATACACTGAGGTTTTTATTTTCTTTTAGACTCAGTTTTCCTATCTATCTATCTATTTATTTATTTATTTTTATTATGGCACTGGGGATTTAACCCAGGGTTACTCTACCCCTGAGCTACATCCCCAACCCTTTTTATTTTGAGATAGTCAACTTGGGATCCTCCTGCCTCAGCTTCCTGAATTTCTGGTGTTATAAGTATGTGCCACTGGGTCTGACCAGCTTTCCATTTTTAATCTGTTTTCTATTTCATTTTATTCTATTCTTATGTTTATTTTTTCTACTTTTTGTGTTATGATTTGTGTGTGTGTGTGTGTGTGTGTGTGTGTGTGTGTACGGGGTATTGAATCCAGACCTCATGCATTCTATGCAAGCCTTCTACAACTGAGCTACATTCTTAGCCACTAATAGTTTTGATTTTTTTTTTAACTAAAGTAATGAAGCTAAGCACTTACTAATTTTTAGTAGTTCTCCTTTTCTAAAATAATTCTTTCCTCATACATTTGGTTCTGTAAATTTTCAGGTGCCACTTGTTATGTTCCTTAAGTGCTAATAAGTAATAATTTTCTAACATCAGTTATATATTTTAGCTTGTAAATTACTGAAGACTATGCTTATTTAAATTTTCAAATATGTACTAGTTTTTCAAAATGATTTCTTCATTACTGATTTCTCATATGACTGCATTGTGGTCAAAAAAGATGGTCTAGATCATACTAATATTGGGGATTCTATGGAGTCTTTGTGTCCTGGTACATGGCCCATTTTTGTAAATATTTCGTCTCTTTTCAACAGGAATTA